AAGCACCCGACTTCACCCTTGTTTGCACCGAGGGCAAGACAAAGTGGTTACTCACCAAGGTTGAGCATGACATGTCTCAGTTCCGCACTGGAAATGAATCCATTTCCATCTTTGTCAAAGACCTTGAATGCCTCTTTAATCTCCTCTTCTGAGTCGGTGTCCTTCATCTTCCTTGCCATCATCGTCAAGAACTCGGGAAAGTCGATGGTACCATTTCCGTCAGCGTCTACTTCGTTGATCATGTCCTGTAGCTCTGCCTCGGTCGGGTTCTGTCCTAATGAACGCATAACAGTTCCCAGTTCACGAGTAGTTATTGTGCCGTCTCCATCTACAGAAGCAACGTCAACTACTTGTTATACAAAGCAGAGGGATAATGTTTATGAATGTAGATACGTGTGGTAATGTGATATACAGTGACTGCCGCGCAGGGTGACGGAGGTTCGATTCGGGAGATTCCATGGCAGATCATGCGGAAACGGGGACCAATAGTCTGATTATGACGTACCCTTATCAAAGAGAGAGAAAGCTTCTTTGAACTCTGAGCGAACATGATCAGCATCAACCCATAGCTTTCGCGGAGTGGGTGAAGATCTCAAACCTACCAGAAATCTGCTCTATATTATGAATTAATATCAGCGTTCCATTAAATTATATACGATGAGAGTTGAAATCTAGCATACCTTCCGACTAACCGCGCGCGTTCAGGGCCGGCACGAAGTTAGCTTTGTAGCGGCATCGGAGTAGGTCAACGTACAAGTTGATCAGCCATGGAAATTTAGATTCAAAGGGATGTTCTTAGGTTGTTGTGTTGTTCTTTGATTGTGGAAGGGTTCAAGACGATGGAGGGCGTGGCGTAATACCACGTCCTACTGTCACCCTATTTTAGTCTCAAACAGTGCAAACCGGCCGCTACGCAGAAGTTGGCAGAGAATATGGGTTTGAATACAGGTTTATTTCGATCGAATTGAAATCAAGGTGACAATAAATAGCAATTCTGAGCGGTGTCATGTTTCTACTAAGGGGTTTCATAACTTTCATAACGGGATACTTATCATAATGCAACAAGGAACGTTGGACGCTTTTCAGAAAGAGGGCGAAAAGTTGAGTGAAGCTGAAGTTGATGAAATGATCCGTGAAGCAGATGTCGATGGTGATGGCCAGATCAACTACGAAGGTATGTGCAGACATTAGAGGTTATCAACGATCTGCTCAATATCCCACCGCTACCTACTTTTATGGGGATTAAATGTCACCAGAGTTCGTTAAAGTGAGTTTCCACTTGAAGTAGCCTCGACTGCAACTGACTGATCTCCTCCCAGATGATGCTCTCAAAGTGATTTCTGTCCTTTCACGAGTCTTTGCAATTACAGTACTTGCCTTGCTCCGTTATGACATTGAAACTAGTACAATTCCTGTTTAGGTTATACCCAATGGTACATAAGCAGAGGAAAATTCTATGACTCTTTTTACTTCATTAATTCCGTCAAAGATCATCTCAGTTCAGGATCTGGATTCGTGAGCTATTACATAAACATGCGACAGTTTATGAGATTCTACGAGCTTCTTCATTCGTAGTTCTGACGCAGGGTGATTTGGGGCTTGGGGTACAATCACTCATTACGCCCTAAAATCGCCGCCACCGGCGTTCTGCTAAGTTGTAATCGGACCACTTTCATAGTAGAGACTCTCTATACACCAACCAACAAATCATGGACGCAGAACACCTTGTAAGTTGGCATAAGGCTATGGATGAATCTGTAGGCGCTGACATATCTGCTCATCTGTCTGTCTGCGCGTTGTGGATGTCCTCTTAGACGGAGGGTATGTCATAGCCATGCAATTAGCAAACGGATCATACAAGCTTACACTCTGACCGTAACATTGTCCATCAATAGAGCAAATCTCTGGTTGGTAGCACCTCTTGCCCATCTATTGCCTCGACACCGATTGACGCTAGCCATCACTCAGAATTCAAGGAGGCCTTTTCCCTCTTTGATAAGGGTCAGTGATATAATCTCTACATATTATGTCCATGGGAACTTAACTCTCGAGTTAGATGGTGATGGCACTATCACAACAAAGGTGATTCATACCTTCGATACGTTTGTACTCTTCAACCCGCTGACCAAGTTTGTCAGGAACTTGGAACTGTTATGCGCTCATTAGGGCAAAACCCAACGGATGCCGAGCTCCAGGACATGGTTCGTATCCTGTGGTTGTCATCCCGCCGTCTTGGCAATCGATGTTTGCTTTTGACTGAATGAGTCCAATAGATCAACGAAGTTGATGTAGATGGAAACGGCACAATCGATTTCAAGGAATTCTTGACAATGATGGCAAAGAAGCTCAAAGATACTGACCGAGAAGAGGAGATCCGTCAAGCGTTCCGTGTCTTTGACCAAAACGGTGATGGTTACGTTACGACCCAAGAGTTGGCTGCAGTCATGAAAAACCTCGGTAAGTGTCCAAGTCAGCATAATCCATACTCTTAACACATTCCTTCGATATAGGAGAGAATCTAAGTCCCCTCGAATTGGATCAGATGATGCAGGAGGCGGATAAGAACGGAGATGGAAAGATTGATTACAGTGGTGAGTGCTACGAGCTCTGTCATATGTTTCTACTTGACCAATCTTCTCTGCGTAGAATTCATCGCGGTATGACTTTCAATATCAGTTCGCCATCTCTCACTCACTGCCACACTAGATGATGTTGGGGCCAAACCATAGGTAGAACCTAGAGATTTTGGGCACCGTATCCTCCGCATTACTGCTCTCTATCAGTTAAATCCTTTCTGTATATGCAATGATATCTTGGTGTCCCAATCATTTTCTGATGCGAAGTGAAAAAGTTCTCGGGTTTTGAGCTGGGTCAGATGAGAGGTTAATAGCAACTATACTCTTGACAATGAACAAGTTCGTCGATATTGATGTCTATATAGGTGTGATACATGGGTACGAGATGCAGAAGTGATTACATGCAAGTCATGCAAGTGCAAAAAAGTGGCAAGCGCGTCAAGAATACATAGACAACAGAGATCAAGAACACTCAAGAAACAAAATGTACAGATGGAGCTCTACAACATGTCAGACTGCCGGGACCGGGCTTACATTTTCTTTATCTTCTGCTTCTTCCTTGACTCCATCTAGTCCTCCTGATGGACGGATGGCGTTCGTGCTCTCTGTAAAAATGGATCCGGTAGTGTAGCGCTTGGTTGAGCCGTCTTTAGATGAATTACCAAATGACGCTCTAGGAATGCCGGAAGATGGGCGAGGAAGCGATGAGGGAAAGGGGGTCCGCTCTCGCATATGAATATCGATATCCGTTACGAAGGCTAAGAGAGCACTTTTCTCCTTTTCTAGTCTGATTCGCGCCTAAGTTATGTGTTAGATGGTGTTGGGAGGAGAGCGATGCCCAATTTCTACCTACCTGTTTTTCTCTCTCCAGCTCTTTCACGATCTCCTTGACCCATTCTTTGTTGCTTCCTAATTCCTTTTCGAGCAGTTCTACTTTTTCTTTCCACTCTTTTTCAACATCTTCCTTGACGGCTCGTAAGGGTTCACCTAAATGAGCTTCATAGCCTTGGACTGTCAAACTGAGTTCCCGATTAGTACGCTGTAGTTCTGCGATTAATTTATCTTTTTCGTCTTCTGGGGCATCGGGGGGTAACAGGGGTCTCGCCGAAAGTGTTGCCTCTAGAGAGAGGATTTGCGTTTCTTGAGATTCGAGCCGCCGCTTGGCATTTAATAACTCTTCCTGAAGCTGTTATAATGAGTCAGGTTTAATTTTCGTTGCACTTAATCTTTAGGGAACTAACTTCGTAAGGAGAGAGATCAAAGTCCAGCTTAGTGGGACTCATTTGAGCAGAGTCCGAGCCCACATCCACAGTCTGGCTCGTAAGGATTAGTTTGCTAAGTTGCTTCAGTCG